GGCCTATACAAGCATTTGTTTGTTTAAGTATGAACTTTCAAAGGAAAAGATTGACAGATTCATACATAAAATTTAAAAGGTTCATTTTAACAGAGAAACAAGTTAAATAGCTAGGGGAATGTAATATAAAATGCATTTTTCTTGATCAAACACCATGTAGAGCCATACAATCCTTCCTTCCAATATGAGTAAAACATATCAGAGAGAAATTGAAAGTTCTCTTTCTGCGATCAGGTGACAAAAAGTGTTGAGTCAGTCTTGTTACCTTCACTTTGTTTTCTGTTTTTGTTGTTTTCACTCTGTGGTGTGGTTCTTCATGTCTCCAGACTATTATGGCAGCTTGATGGATGCTCTTGGGGCTGGAATTCCAGGGGCTCACTGTACCCTTTCACAAAACAGGATGAATCCATCCCCCTGGTGCTCAGAAGAGTGGGGCTCAAGCAGGATGTGGACAAGCTCCCCTAAGCCACATGCCTCTGCGAGGTGGGTCTGACCTTGGTGGCTCTGCTCTAGCCTGCAGCAGGCACCAGGCCCACCTAGGCCGATGGCCAGGCTGTCCTGGACAGACATTCCTGGAGGAAGAGGATTGTCCCTACTGCAAGTAGGAGCACTTTGCCTTTCCCTCCTTTTCCCTTTCTCTTTTGTGGCACTTTTCATAGGGGAGGAGATGATGCTCCAAAGCTTCATAACTGAACACATTGGTTGTGATAGTTTTTACCAAGCAGTTGTCTGATTTGCATCTGACTAGCTAACAAGGTTGAAGCAGGAGGGGGGAACCTTCTCTCAGAGTCTAGTGAAGCAGCCCCCAGAACAATTGTCATTGAGTTGCGGTTGTGACGACAACCCCACCCCCCTTCATCCACCTTTCTCAGACTCCCTGAAGAGACTTGGTTGTGACCAGGCCTCTGGTGGTTTTGGTGGTTCTGTAGTGACTTCAGTTCTGTGCCTGACTGGTTCAGTGCTTCTGATATTCGAGTCAGCCCAGGTCCACAAGTACAGGAGAGCTCAGACACATAGATGTGCACAAGCACAGGCATTGTGGCCCTACAACTCAGGAGAAAAGGTGTGTCACCTCCTGTCTGCACTGCACACCAAGCCCATGACTTGGGGCCGGGGCAGTCAAGCTGTGAATTGGCATGAAGGTACCTTTTTGAGGCATTATTGGTGGAGGAAACAGTGTCATTGTGAGCTTTGCCCTTTGGTCTATCTTCTGAGAAGCAATCATCGCTTTTCTGACATACCAAAGGGTTGGTTGGGCAATAAGGTAAAGAGAAAATCCAAACAGTTGGGTTCAGCAATGTGTTTGAGGATTATGGCCTTTAGAGCCAGATAAATCTGAGCTCCAAACTGGGCTCTTCCCCTTATCAGTATGTGACCTTGCATAAACCACTTATTCTTTTTGAGCCTCAGTTCACTCACTTGTATTGGGGGGAGAAAAACACATATCTCAGAATTGCTTGTCAGAATTAAAGGAGTTAGAAATGTGAAGCAATGGGTTATAAACAGCAGTGACTTATGTCACTTTTAGGTCAAAGTATAGAAAAATGGGCACAAGGTCTCCGTGTACCCTCTTTCTCTGTTGCAGTGCCTAGCAGTGTTCCAGATTGTGGCATCATGGTTAATTTGGGTCTCTGAGAGGCTATGGAGAACAGAGCCTCTCCATTAGGGATCCTAATCAAGTTTGAGTAATCGATTTTTGTTGTATTAAGTCACAGAGATTTTGTGGTTGCTACCTATCCTAGCATAAGCTTAGGCTAACTTGAAAAATAGACCTCAGAGTTAAACAACAGAATAACTGGAGATGCTTGTGAAAACACACATTGTATGTGCTGAAGCTATACTGGAGAAACAGGCAAGATGGGGATTATTGGTGAGAGAGAACTAACTATTCAATTATCATATCAGGATAATCACTAAAATTAACAAAGCAAGAAATAACAGTTGCAAATCATATATCTGATAAGGGACCTGTGTCTAGAATATATAAAGAGCTCTTTTTTTGGAAAAAAAAAATTATTATTATTATTACTATATTATCTTTTCTCCATTTATGGGGATGTTGCTTATTGGTCCAGTTTGTTAAGTTTAAGAATATATAAAGAACTCTTTACTGGCATAGTGGATAAGGCACTTGACTGCTACCTGGAAGGTCAGCAGTTCAAGCTCACCAGCTGCTCTGTGGAAGGAAGATGGGGTGATCTACTTCTGTAAAGACTTACAGCTTCAGAAACCCAACGGGGGTTGCTGTTAGTTGGAATCAACTAGATGGCAGTGAGTTTATGATGGTATAATAAAAAAAAAATCAGACAATAGCTATATTGGCAAGTAGGCGGTGAAATCAGAACTCTCATACTGATGGTGGGAAAACAGTTTGGAAGCACCTCAAAAAGTTAAACATAGAGTTACCATATGACTCAGGCATTCCACTTCTAGGCATATACCCAAGATAACTGAAAGCAGAGGTACACACAAATACTTGTACACAAATGTTCAGTACTGATACAGGCTACAATATGGATGAGCCTTGAAATCATTATGCTAAATAAAAGGAGCCAGACACAAGAGGCCATACGTTGTATAATCCCATTTATATAGGCAGGAGCTCTGGTGGCTTACTACCTAAGGCATTTGACTGCTAACCAGAAGGTTGTCAGTTCAAACCCATCAACCACTCCTCAGAAGGACAACCGGGCAATCTACTTCTGTAGAGATACCGCCTCAGAAACCCAAGGAGGGATTACTATGAATCAGAGCTGACTGGGTGGCAGTGAGTTTGGCAGTGATGAGCAGATGGGGAGTAACTGCTAATGGGTATGAAGCTTCTTTTTGTAGGATGATGAAACGTTTTGGAACCAGGTAGTGGCGATGGTTTCCTAACTCTACAACTCTGTTAGTATACTCAAAACCACGGAAGTGCACACTTCAAAAGGGTGAATTTTATGGTATGTTAATTATATCTCAATAAAGCTGTTTTTGAAAAAAGGAATAACAGTATTTGCAGATTATTCAGAAGTGTGGAGATAAATACCAGAAGAAACAACTAAAATGTTTACAATGGTTGTCTCTGGAAAGTGGAAATGTGACATGGAGAGGAAAATTGCAGCTTTTAATAAGAAACTTTTTTGCATGTGTCCAAGCTGATAAAATAAAAATAAATTAAGAGCAACACACACACACACATTGAGGGGACAAATCAGAAGAGATTCTGATGCACTGGGTCTTAAGTGGGAGCCAGGATTCTGATGCAAGTGGTCTGTTAGTGGCTAGCAAACTTTGAGAAACACTATTATATGCAATGTTAAAATCATTTAGCAATGAATTATGGTAAAATCCCTCTCCTGCTCTCCGGGGAGGGATGAAGTAGGACTCACCTGTATCCGGGAGCAAGTCCAGGCAGCTGTGTTCCTTTTGGAGTGTTAGTTTTCAGTTTCTAAGAACTGAAATTACGTTCTCCAGACTATATATTCAATCACGGGCAGAACTCAGCCAAGAATGGAAGTCTTTTGACTCCATCATAATTACTGTATTGAGTTTTTCAGCTTCTACTATGTGCTGTAGGTACTAACATCAATAAAATATGTTGTTGTTGTTGTTGTTGTTATGTGCCATCGAGTCAGACCTGACTCAGCGACCCCTCCTTGGGTTTCTGAGGCAGTATCAC